CGTATTTGAATTGATTTATTTTCGTCAAAAGTCAGTAAAACTTGAATGTGACCTACGGTGGAGAATTGTGTTTTCTCGAGCTCCAGAATATATGCCCCACCCTTTTACAGTACACAGTTGAATGATGAATAAGTATGCCTGCAGCAGAAGAGTGCGTAAAGTAAGGATGTCCAAACACTGAACCGCATGTTGGGGATCTGACTCCCCAACAAGGTTTCATTCGGACTGCGTTGCTTCGCGACAAGGTCGTAGGGAAAATAGTCTTCCTTCTATGACCAGGGTCTCCAGGACAGAGGCGGCGATGCTGAGCAGATGGATTGGAGGGAAGAATATGGCTGAGGGGAGGGGGGATTGGGAGAACAGGGCCCTCTTACTAGATCTACAAATGTATACGTAAAGTGGAATATTAAAAAGCAGAAGGAATTTTGACACTTCCCCCCTCCTTCCGCGCGAGATAAATAACGCTACCTATATATCATTTTTGTTAGTAATCTGACAATGCTGTCCGACGCAGGAAGGTGCTGAATCAAAAGTAATGTCTGGCCCTCTTCCTATTCCAAAAGAGTACGGCTCAAAATTGCAAATTCCGATGGAAGCGTGGTAGTAATAAAGCTTATTCTAGGAAATGGACCTTGGCACTTGTCGCAGGGCCAGGGCGTCGTGCTGTGGGCGCTTTCTTCCTCGCAAGGCCCGAACACGCAGGGCGGCGGAGGCCATTTGACAAGCGGACGTTTGACAAAACCATATTCAAGATTTGAGACGACAAAATCTTTTGACGTAATATTTCGCGAAACCCGTTAGGAAGTTTTGGCACAGAATTTATCGTTGTACTTAAAATATAAATAAAAACAAGTAAATGCAATACCGGCTGCACCATCTTCAGCGACTATCACCAGAATGATTGCTTAGGAAAAAATCCTATCACGTCCGCACAAATAGTGGAAAGATCAACTGCTACAGCAATGCTTGGAATCTCAACGAACTAAAGGTCAAAATAACGGGTATTCGTACAAGATGAGACCGTTAATAATAAATAATGTGCCGCTCCTCAAAATTCGGCGCTCTCGACCGGGGTCATTTGAAAATTAGACATCGTGCGTCAGCGGCCACCAACCTTTCGGACATCATTGACCCCTACAGTCATAATCTTACATAGGAAGGAGTACTATTTTTTTAAAACGATAAATACATTTGTGATATAATGACCAGGTACTTCAATTTTATCGAATTAGAGCCTTTCTAATATTACAAAATTGTAAATGATAGTTAATTAATAACAAAACATTAAAAAAGTACATAATTATAACGAAGTATTACTGTTTAAATATATGAAAATAATTTAATAAGATTAAGAAAATTACATATTTTAGCATATAGTCTGTTAATAGTCGATTACAATAAGTCAGTGGATTTTCGACTTCATTATTAATCAAACAAAAAGGCGAATAATAATCAGTTTTGAATTCGAAGTGTTCGGTATTTGTCATCGGCTTTGTGCGGTTTTATATTCAGCAAGGGGCTGCTGCTACCACTGCTAGTAATCATAATGTTTCTTAGGACTGAGACAATTTCCATCTGACCACTGCTCTTGCTCTTTATCGCTGAAGCCTTCTGCGTTTTCCAAGATTCTCGCCCGAATTCTCGGCTGATAAAGTTTTCACCGTGGAAACCCCATGGCGTCATATGGGCGGAGAACACGGAGATGATGAGTTAGGACTCTGGCTCCCCCTCCAATGGCCCCCTTCCAGTATTTTCAATTACATCCAGAAATTGCATACTTGTATCAGGTTTTACTACCGACACTTCAGTATAACATTTTAAGGAAAATATTTATTCGTTATAGAACACTAAGTCTGTAAAACAATGAAGTACACAAAAATGTTTTTCTCCGTCGTGGGTACAGGTTGCCACGTTTAGGCCGCCATTTCGGGCTTCCTCGGGCGACACCCGGACAGCTAAGAATCTACCGACTCCGGCCGCGGAAGACTGTCATATCGTCGTTCGACTTTCAATTGTTAACTCATTTTCCTCTTTGTTGCTCAGATGATTCGATTTAATTCAATCTAATTTTAAATGGCGTTGCGGCCCACGCAGCGTCTTGTAAAGTGTCAGTTAGGTGCTGTATTGCGTCCTCGATGTTTTCTCTTGTCTTCTGTTCTCCTGTCTGCATTTGCAGAGAAATAATACATAAATCTTCAACGTATTCCGCAGAAATAAGACAAAATGTGGTAGGAAAACGTCGATTCCGACGAATATTCATGACGACACGTCAACCAGATGACAAAAGAATATAACACAGCAGCCAGACAATTAGCACGTCAAATTCAGGAATACAAAAACCAATCATTCTCTAAATACATCCAAGCACTGTCACCTACTGCTGAAACTAATTATTCGCTTTGGAAAGCAGACCTCAACTGAAACGACCTCAACAGCACATCGCATCAATTCGAAGAGATGATGGCATGTGGGCAAGAAGCGCAACTGAAAATGTCGAATGCTTAGCAAAACACTTTGCATCTGTTTTCAAACCAGCAGGAAATGCAAGTACTATTAAAAATAAAGTGCTGGAGTTTTTGGACGTAGCTTTACATTTATCACTGTCCATAAAGCATTTCACCTCACGAGAAGTCGAACAAACGATAAAAAAATACACGCATCCTACGAAAAGTCTAGGGTTTGGCGTTATTACTAGCAAGATCATAAGGTAATGTCAAGAAAGATATGCTTTCGTAACAAGTATATTCAACGCGATACTTCAAAGTAGTCATTATCCTTGTCAGTGGAAATACGTTCAAATAATTGCGATCTTGAAACTAGGAAAGACAGCCACGCAAGTGTCATCGTACCGACCGATTAGTCTGCTACCTGTCCTATCAAAAGTACTTGAAAACCTTCTCTTACAGCGCCTCAAGTCTATAATTTAAGATATGATTCCTAAAGTTTGATTGATTGAAGTTTGATTGATTGAAGTTTGATTGATTGAAGTTTGATTGATTGAAGTTTGAATCAAACCATCAACCTTCAATCAACCATCAACCTTCAATCAACCATCAACCTTCAAATCAACCTTTTTTCTAACCTTTTCCTATCAACCTATCAACCTTCAATCAACATCAACTTGCAATCAACATCAACCTTCAATTTTTTTTCCAAAACCCCCCCCCCCCCCATGTCCAAAAAAACCTTTTTTTTTTTTTTTTCAAAAATCCCCCAAAAAACCCAGCCAAAAAACCTTTCCAATCCAACCATTCAACCTGTCAATCAACCAATCAACCTTCAGAAACACATCAACTTTCAAACAACCATTCAGACGTCAAACAACCATCAACCTTAAACACATTCAACCTTCCAAACAACCATCAACTTTCATTCAACCATCAACCTTCAATCAACCAGGCAACTTCAATCAACCATCAACCTTCAATCAACCACAACTTCAATCAATCAATCTATCTTCAATGCAATCTATCTTTCAATCAATCCATCATCATTCAATCTATTTCATATTCCATCAATCATCATCAAAATCATCATATTCAATCTTCAATCATCCTCATCAATCCATCAATCAATCCATCAATCAATCTTCAATCAATCTTCAATCACCATCATGATGAATCAATCAATCACCATCATATCTTCATCATCAATCATCCATGCATCCATCATCAATCCATCATGAATCCATCATTATCAATCATTATCAATCAACTATCAATCAATATCAATCAATCATCAATCAATTTCAATTATCAAATCTCCTCAATCAATCAATCAGCAATCAATCATCAATCATCAATCATCAATCAATCATCAATCATCATCATCAATCAATCATCAATCATTCAATCATCAATCAATCATCAATATCTATCCATCATATCATCAATCCTCCATCCAATCATTCATCATTCATCAGCAATCCAATCATCAAATCAATCTCAATTCATCAATCATCAATTTCAATCAATCAATCATCAATAAATACTCAATAATTAATCATCCATCAATCATCAAATCATCAAGACGGGTCCCATCAATCATCCCATTCATTCAGGATCATCAATCCAATCAGTTCATCCTCCATCAGTCATCCGTCATCAGTCATCCGTCATCAGTCATCCTCCATCAGTCATCCGTCATCAGTCTCCGTCAGCAGTACAGTCGTCACAGTCATCCGTCGATCAGTCATCCGTCATCAAGGTCATCCATCATCATCATCCATCATCATCATCCATCACCATCACCATCCCATTCAACATCATCACATCAATCGGTCATCACCTCTTCAGGCATCACCCCCCATATCATTCACCCCCATTCATCACCCCCATCATCCCACCATTCATCATCACCATCATCATCCCAATCATCATCACAATCATCCATCACCAATCATCATCACCAATCCTCATCACAATCATCTCAGCCAATCATCATCACATCATATCACATCATAATCACCAAATCATAATCCACCAATCATTAAATCACCAATGCAATTTATCACCAACATAATCACCAATCAAATTCACCAATCATAATCACAATTCATAATCACCAAATCATAATCACCCAATCATTAACACCAATCATAATGCGACCAATTCATATCAGTCCAAATCATAATCACCAATCATAATCACCAATCATAATCTAGCCAATCTATAATCGACCAATCATAATCACCATCATAATCACCAATCATAATCACCATATTCATTAATCCACCAATCATAAATCACCAATCATAACTCCACCATCATAACACAATCAATAATCACCAATCAAATTCCGACAATTATAATCCACACTCTCCTCACCCACCTCATAAATCCACCATCATAATCACCAATCATCAATCACCAAATACATAATCACCAATCAATAATCTACCAATCATAATCACCAATCATAATCACCTATGCATTAATCTACCAATATAATCACCTAATCCATAATCACAATCATATTACAATCAGTAATCACCAATCATAATCACCAATCATAATCACCAATCATAATCACCGAATCATAATCAATCATAATCAATCATAATCAATTCATTATCATTTATTATGATTGATATATGTTGATAAGATTGATTATGATTGATAATGATGATAAGATTGTATATGATTGCGAATGTATTGATAATGATGATCAATGATTTGCATAATGACTTGATAATTACTTGATAATGATGATAATGATGATAATGATTGATAGATGATTGATAGATGATTGATAATGATTTGATAATGAGTGAGAAATGATTGATAATGATGGATAATGATTGATAAATGATTGCTAGGATGAAATTGATAAATAAGATGAATAAATGATGATATAGATTGGATATGATTGATATATGAAATCTGATAATGATATATAATGATTGATAATGATTGATAATGATTGAGTTAATGATTGATAAATGATTGATTAATGATTGAATAATGATTGATAATGATTGATAATGCATTTGATAATGATTGATAATGATTGATTAATGATTGATAATGATTGATAAATGAAATTGATAATGCATTTAGATATGATTGTTTAATGATTGTATATGATTGATTATAATGATTGTAATGTTTATTTCCATAATGATTGATAATGATTGATAATGATTGATAAGCATTGATAATATGATAATGATTTGAAATGATGATAATGATTTGATAATGTATTGATAATGATTGATTTAGATATGATAACTGAGGGGTTGAGAATGAGTGCGATAATGATTTGATAATTGTTGATAATGATTGATAATGATATAATGATTGTATATGATGATAATGATTTGTAATGAGTTCTGCAATGATTGATATGAAATGATATGATGATAATGCATTGATAAATGAGTTGATATGATTGATAATGATTGATAGATGCTTATAATGAATTGATAATGATTGATAATGATGATAATGAATTGATAATGATTAAAGGATTTGATAATGATTGATATGATTGATAATTGATGAAATGATTGATAATATTGATAATGATTGTATTATTGCATATTGATTGATTGATGATGATATGATGATTGTATTTATGATTGATAATGATGATATGATTGATAATTGATTGATAATGATTGATTGATATAATGATGATAATGAGATAATGATTGATTGAATGAATTATGAGTGTGAAATAATGATTTGATATGATGATAATGATTGATTAGATTATGATGATTTATTACATATTGATTGATAATGATTGATTGAATGATTGATATGATGGATATGATTGATATAGTGATGATCTGATCCCTGAATGAATTGATCTTGATGATGATTGATGATATGATTTGATTGAATGATTGTATGATTGATGATGATTATTGATTGATGATATTGATTGTATGATGATATTGTTGATTGATATTGATGTGATTAGATGATGACTTGATTGATGATTGAATGATTATGATGTGATGATGATTATTGAGATTGAATGATGATGAGTAATGATTGATGATATGATTGATTACATGATTGATCAATGATCGATGAGATGGATGATGATAGATTGATCTGATATGATTGATTGATATGATTGATATGATTGATAATGATTGATGAATGATTGATGATGATTGATAATTGTATTGATGAATGCATGAATGATTGATATGATGATTGATTGAATGATGTGAATAATGATTGATATGATGATATGATTTGATTGATGATTGTAATGATTGATAATGTTGATGAATGATTTGTAATGATGATGATGATTGATGAATGATTGATATTGATATTGATGATATGATTGATGATGATTGATGATTGATTGATGATTGATTGATGATTGATTGATGAATTGACATTGATATTGATTGATGATTTGATCGATATGACGATAATTGATCGATAATGATCGGTAATGATCGATAATGATCGATAATGATCGATAATGAGCCGATTAATGATCGATAATGATCTATAATGATCGATATGATCGATATATCGATAATGATCGATAATGATCGATAATGATCGATAATGATCGATAATGATCTTTTGTGTGTTTATGTTTTTACTTGGCCGGAAAAGCTGGGCGAATAATGTCGAATAATGCAGTCGATATATGATCGATAATGACGATAAGGGATCGGATAAGTGATCGATAATGATCGATAATGATCGATAATGATCGATAATATCGATTAATGATCGAATATGATCGATAATGCATCGATAAAGATCGATTAATGATCGATAAGATCGATAATGATCGATAATGATCGATAATTGATCGAACTAATGATCGATAATGATTCGATAATGATCGATAATGATCTATAACTGATCGAGAATGGATCGTAGGATGATCGCATAATCACTCATTAATTCAATCATAATCAATCATAATCAATGCATAATCCAATCATAATCAATCCATAATCCAATCATAATCATTCATAATCAATCGTAATCAATCATAATCAAATCATAATCATCATAATCAAATCATAATCATCATATCATCATAATCAATTTCATAATCAATCATAATCATCATTACAATCATTATCAATAATATCAATTTCTCATAATTATCAATCATTATCGAATCATAATCCAATCATGTATCATCAATCTATAATCATATCAATCAAATTCAATATTATCAAATCATAATCAATCATATCAATCATAAGTCAATCATTAATCAACATTAGATCAATCCATAATGCAATGCGATTCAATCAATCATTATCAATCATTATCAATCATTATCAATCATTATCAATCATAATAACATCCTCTCATTATTCAAATCATATCAATCATAATCTATCAATCATATCAATCAATCGAATCAAATAAGATCTAATCCAATAGTTATCCAATCATAATCAATCGCTATAATCAATCATAATCAAATCTATTATCAAATCATCGTCATCAATCAATCATATCAATCATTTGGATCAGTATTCAATCAGTCAAATCATCAATCGTCAATTCATCAATCGCCAATCAATCAATCAATCTCAAGTCAATCAATCGCCAATCAATCAATTCAATCGTCAATCAATCAATCGTAAATTCAATCATAAATTGCATCATCAATCAAATTGAATCATCAAACCATCAAATTGATCATCAACATCGTAATGCTCATCAACCATCAAATTGCTCTCATCAATCATCAATCATATTATTCAATCAATCATCATCAATCAATTAATCATCGATCATCTAATTCAATTAATCAATCATTCAATTTCAATCAATCACTTCAATCATCCATCAATCATCCACACAGCGATCCGCATGATCATCATTCATTATTAATCGATCATCAATCATTTCATTCAATCAATCAGTCAAATTCATGCAATCACTCAACACATCAATCAATCAGCAATCAATCATGCGACATCAATCCAATCATCAATCATCACTATTGAATCAATCAATCATTCATCATTGTCAATCAATCTCAATCCATCATTGCATCAATCCAATGCATCATGCAATTCAATCAATCACATTGCTATACAATCAATCCATCATTGCATCAATCAATCATCATTGCATCAATCAATGTGCATTGCCATCAATCCAATCGTCATTGCATCATCAATCATCATTGCATCAACAATCCATCATGCAATCAATCAATCATCATTGCATCAATCATATCATGCATGCATCAATCAATACATCATTGCAGCGATTCAATCATCATTGCATCAATCAATCATCTCATCAATTCGGATCATCAATAGCATCAATGCATATCATCATTGCAGCAATCAATCATCAATGCACTCAAGTCAATCATCATTGCATCAAATCAATCATCATTGCATCATCAAGGCAATTCATTGCATCGAATCTCAATACTCATCTGTCAATCAATCGATCATTGCATCTATCAATCATTCATTGCATTCAATCAACATCATTGCGGGATCAATCAATCATCATTGATCAATCATTATCATTGCATCAATCAATCATCATTGCATCAATCAATCTCATTGCATCAATCAATCATCGAGTGCGTCATCATCATCATTGGCATCAAATCAATCGATCATTGCATCAATCAATCATCATATGCATCACCAATCATCATTGCATCTATCAATCAGCAATCAATCAATCAATCTCAATCAATCAATCAATCATCCAATCAATCAATTCAATTCATCCAATCAATCAAATCTCAATCATTCGAATCAATACAATCAATCATCCAATTCAACTCAATCATCGGATCTATTCAATTCAATCAATCATCGAAATCATCCATTGCAATACCAATCACGAATCAATCCAATCAATCAATCATTCTCGAATCAATCAATACAATCAATCATCGAAATCAATTCAACAATCAATCATCGAATCAATCACCAATCAATTCATCAATCAAGCAATTTCAATCATCAAGTCGAGAGCAGAAATTTTCA